AATGTTTATGTCCCATCCCACAATTATAGTTAAAGTCTTTTTGTCAATTATAACGATAGGACACTAGGCATATTATAATACTAAAAAATGTAGATTTTAAATTCTAATATTGTCATGTTAAAATAGTGTAATACGATATACTGAAAATTGTAAATATCATTATACTCATTGAAGTTATATTATATATAAATATTACTAAAAAGATTAGCAATATTAAACAATGAAATATCTTAAATTTGACACAATAATTTTGTTTAAATTATAAATTCTTTTCTCATATCATACTATGTGCAAAGCATGTCTAGAAAACAAGTTTTTGATTTTAAGTTCTTATCAATTATTTTTTATAATTTTTTTATATTCTTTCAAGCATGCTCCTAAATTCACTCTTTAAAGTCCATAAAAATGTACGATTTTATCATTCAAATTGACAATTTTTATCACGTAGAGACGCAGATTCATATATTTAAACAGATAGAGTATCAAAAATTTCTTTTGAAGTTTCGGAACTCAAAACTACATGAAGCAAAAAGCTATGAAGTTCCAACTCCAATTTTCACAAAACAAATAATTGGAGTAAACCTAATTGATAAAATAAACGAAAAAGGGGTCAAAAGGAGTCCACTAATTGGAAAGGCATCTGTACCTTAATCCTACTAGTCTTAACTTTCAGTTATTGCCACATGCATGGAACAGTATATTATGGCCGTCTCCATCGAAGCAGGTAACATATTAATATTTTGACCAGGACTTCTTAACTTTCTACTATTAAATGATCGGCAAATTTTGGCACAAAGGAGTCAAGTTGTTTTTAAATTTTTGAACTAATTGACAAAAATGATTTTAAATAGGACTTACAAAATTATGGATAACGTTCAATTCAAGCAACGATATATGCATATTTGCGATGCATGAAAAGTACTCATACATTTTGTTGTGAGATTAGACGGAATACATACATATATACATGCATGTAATCAACAAAAGGAAAAATATTCTTATGGATTATTGATTTTAAATTGATCTCCTCCTCAAGTACTATTCTTCTGAAATATTGATAAGAAGTAATAAATAACATTAAAATAAATATATGTCTATCATTGAATGATATTATCAAAATGATCCAATCAAATCGAATAATACCTAACACTTTGTCGTTTTACGGGCATTTTCTTTTGAAAAGGAAAGTTTCGGTGCTAATTCAATGTGTTCGAACTTCGTGTCTTGTTTTGAGCTAAAGAGATAAAGCATTTTTATTGGCCTATTGACTATACCGTCGTATTAATAACATGCAATAAATTAGAGACAAAAAGAGAATATAGTAAAGAGATTCAAAATTCATGTGTTTTATTGAGAGCTAAATTCCTGTATTTGTAGGATATAATTAAGGATGGGGAGATATAATTGTCTTTCACAAATAATATTTAATATATAACTGTATAAATATTCTAAAAGGTAAAAACATTTTAAACATCAAGATTTTTACGCATGTGCTACTTATATAAATTGAAATAATCAGTACGAAAACGGAATCATGGAAAGAGTGGTATAAAAGAAAACTTATAGTTCGTTTGATTGCAAATCTGTAATTTGGGTGGAAAGAAAATANGAAAGAGTGGTATAAAAGAAAACTAGTAGTTCGTTTGATTGCAAATCTGTAATTTGGGTGGAAAGAAAATAAATTCTAGGGAATTGAAATGCATAGAATTTGTTTTATTGAGAATTGTAATGGTGTTTGATTGGTACAATTTTTCACCTAAAAAATTTGAAAGTTTTATGTTCGTTTGACTTCGATTTTCATGGAAATTGTACATTAAAGTGATAAATTTTTTTACCATTGGATTTAGAATTTGTTCCAATTGTCAAAAAAAAATTAAGAAAATTAACATACCGAATACCATTCGTTTGGCTTTGTTTTGTATGAAAATTGTCAATGAAAGTGATAATTTTTTTTACCATTATGTCTACAATTTTATCCAACAGCAAAAAAATAATAATAATAAACAAATAAAAAAGAAAACCTGGAAAGCAATTTCCAACCAAAATTGTGGGAATTTATTTCATCAAAACCATGGAAATTGTCACCATATGAGGCCAATCAAGATAATCGATTGCAAGGAAAAAATTTGTAATGAAACAATGCTAAAGTGGAAGATAGAATTTGTTTTCCATTTTCCATGAAAAATTTGGCACAATCAAACAGGGCCTAAGAAAATTGTTACAAAACCCACATTCCTACTCTTTCAAACACATTCCTGCATGGAATAAATGGATCGAACGACTTTCCAATGCGAGAACACGGCTTAAATATTTAGACGTACGGGTGCACTCGATTTTCACACAACAACCAAAGAGAGAAAATCATTTCATTGTTGCTGTATCATATAATAGCGAAATTTGTCCCACTATTGTGGATTACAATAATAACAATTTGAATCTTATTCACGACAAATTTGAATCTATAAATATTAGAAGGCATATTAGGATATGATCATGGTGACCAGGACTTTTTAACTCTCTACTTGTATATGATCGGCAAAATTTGGCACAAAGGAGTCAAGTTGTATTTAAATTTTTGAACTAATGGACAAGTAGAGCGTTTATAATTTTCATACTCTTGAATAGGATTTACAAAATTATGGATAAAGCTCAACTCAAGCAGCGATATTTGCACATTTGCGTGCAAGAAAAGTATTTATACGTTTTGTTTCAAATCTTTTTCATTGTAAGTATGACCTCAGTGAAAAAAAAAAAAAAATTGTTAATATTACGAATATATATTTGATTATTGGGAGTGAACATTTCTTTCTAGATTTACGTTAAATGCTATTGTGTCATGGAAGTACATAAGAAAAGTGAAATTATTAAAAGTAATTTATTTCCTTTTTAATAGATTAAGTTTTACGTAAGAGTGATTGGATATAATACCAAAACAGATAAATGTCATGAATTCATGTGTTCAAACTTCGTACCACTTTTTTTTGTTTAGCTAAAAAGTAGAGGTTATGCACTTATTCTCAATATAAATTATATTGTGAGATTAGACAGAATACATACATATATACATGTAATATAACTAATCAACAAA